TTGACTACTGACGGGACATATGCGTCCCACTGAAATTTTCAAAATGACTGCTGGGTCGAAGATTGTTAAGAATCTTCTGAATGTTGGGAATCTTCCAATAATTGGAAAATCAAGACGCGGCCGTGCTCGTTGTACACCAATGAACATAGAGAAAAGAACAAATACAAGTTCTCCAGTGTTGGGTTAAAAGAATGCTTTACACTGTACCATACGACGTAAAAGTCTGTTTCATATAATAAAGTTTTCCAGAATAATAGGTGTGCTTATAGTAAGTCGATAGCTACGGGTGGGACATATGTATTCCACCATTAACTACTATAGCCCACCAGCAGCCGAGCGGTAAAGTCACTGAACACTGGTAGTTCGGTCCGAGGTTCGAATCCCGCGAACGGGCTGGCTGCATGGGTGTTTTCGTGGTTTTCCCCATGTGTAACGTGTATACGAGCCAGTTTCCCTTGGAAAGTCCTCCACGAAGGCATTCCTTTCCTTAGGCAGATAGCCCCAGTGTGCTTTGCCATAATTAAATACACCATTAACTACGGCTGGGACAATGTGTCTCAGCCTTTGGCTCGAAAACCGTTCGTCAAAAAAAAAAATCCCAAATGCTAAATTTACCTTATTTATGACATATTTCTTTCACTTGGATAGAAAACGGGTTTTTTTAATTCGTAGTCAAAGGGTTAATGTGCTAGAAGAGCTAGTGGCCGAGCGGTAAAAGCCGATGAACACTGGTAGTTGGGTTCGAAACTCAGCGAACGAGCTGGCTGCATGGTCATTTTTTCTCGATGTTTAACTTGGGTACGAGCTAGTTCCCTAAAAAAGACCTCCATGGGGCATCCCTCCAATTCCGTGTGGCGCCTAAGGGCGGACACATAATAAGTAAAAAAGAAGAAGGGTACTATTCCGTTTTGAGGGGTGTAAAAAAATTGCAGCGAAAATGTATGCGCAAAAGTGCCAAATCTAGCAAATGCGCCCATTTAACAGCGCGCCAAATCTAGCGAACGCGCTGATTTCAGATTGCGTAAGTTTATATAGTGGTATATTTCTTAAGACGCCATTGAAATACTAGTTTAATTTTTAAATCCTTTTTGATTATGGATTTAACAATTTGGGATTGCCCGTGACGAAAAGTCGGCAATAGAATTTTGGGTAAAGTGCAGAATCATCCACTGACTTTAAGCGTTTCTAAGAACTTGCACATACTCTGGTATCCATGTACATATCGACCTATTTTCACTTAAAAAAAAAAATCCTAGAATTGCACAAAAATGGCACTGCGCACACCCTTGACTTTATCTATATACACATCGAACCTATTTTCACTTAAAAAGTAAAAGAAAATTGACAGAAAATCCAAATTGTTTTTACCCTTGTAAAAAGCGGCGAAACACTTAAGTGTGACGAATTCTGCATCTTTACCGAGAATATTTTTCAAAGAAAATGCATCATTCATTACTAGAAAATTACGTTTGAACAACCAACGAGATGAAACTATGGCTTTAGCGATAAGTCGGTAGCGAATAGCGATGCAGGCATCCATTCAGTTATGTTCAGCAATTTTTATATAAATTATAATAAGGATCTGAAACAGTTATTTACTCTTTTGCTTCCATTCAGTCATGTTTAGCTTTTTTCATATAAATTACAATAATAAAAAAGTATTATATGAAATTAACCTTTCATCGAAATTAAAACATCAATCTTAGTTATTTACTATTATACTTCCTTTCTTGCTGCAATTATTAGGGTTGCCGCAATTATTTTTGGCAGCATTGGCATCAACAATAGTTTGGCGATTTTTCACGGCCCTCGAAACCGAATACTACCAGAAGAAGAAGAAGCGGTAGTGAACTTTCACAAAACATTTTCATCGCAAAAAAACAATTTTTTTTTTCTCTTTGCCTTTCCCTCTCGATCAAGTAACTGAAAGTAAGGCTATTAGGTATTATTATCATTTACGTGTTCCGCCCTAAGGCACCACACGGAGGGGAGGGATGCCTTCGTGGAGGACTTTCTAATAGAAATTGGCTCGTATTAACACGTTACACTTGAGGAAAATCACGAAAACGCCCATGCAGCCAGCCCGTTCGCGGGATTCGAACGTCGGAACGAACTACCAGTGGTCAGGGACTTTACTGCTCGGCCGCTGGTGGCCTAAGGCTCTTAGGTCAGCTTTATCTTACTGCTATCATATTACTTTTAAGACAAAGTTGTATATATGAATATCTGCTATATACCTATCAGTGGTGGTGTGGTGTGGTGTGGTGTAATTATGGCAAAGCACACTAGGGCTATCTGGCTAAGGGGAGGGATGCCTTCGTGGAGGACTTTCTAAGGGGAACTGGCTCGTATACACGTTAAACATGGGGAAAACCACGAAAACACCCATGCAGCCAGCCCGTTCGCGGGATTCGAACCTCGGACCGAACTACCAGTGTTCAGCGACTTTACCGCTCGGCGGCTGGTGGGCATACCTGCCAGTAACCTCTGCAAACAAATGATTAGCCGCAGAGAAATTAAGCATCAGATAAGTATTTATCGCACTTTAAAAATAATGCACTTAATTATTTTTTTCTTATAAACAATATAATTTGTAATATTATTCCCGATTTACGCTCTGGTGTGTGCAGGAAGGTACATTTTAAATTTTGAGCCTACGCTAAATTCCTTTCATTTTAAAGACTTATTGATTTCCTCAGATTCGGTAATTTATGCAAAATATTTCGCTTTACTACGAAGCATACGCGCATCTAACCGAAAGAACATTTCTCCTTTTGTTAAAAATTGAAAAACTTAACTGAATAAAGAAATCTTGTATAAAGAATAATGGAAAAACTCTGACAATACTGAACGGAGTAAAATCATCTAAAAATAGAGAAAGAATCGTATAAAAGCATTATACAGGTTTTCATTTATCGTTATAAACTATCACCCATCGCTGCTGGATTTTTGAACTACATGAAAAAAGCTCAACTAAAATTTTGATAATGCTTTAAATGACAATAATAATAATAATAATGAGCGTAAAATTGCTTTTCGTTACTATCTGCGCGAAGTTTAGGTAATAAATATCTGTATTTAATGTCTTAAAAAGGTTTGAATAGTGTTGCTTTTTTTACTCTGCCGTTTTGCTTTTTAAACATCTCCAATTTGCGATTGCCAAAAAGAGATTATATAGCTTTCGCTAGCCGTAATGAAGGCTTCACACCAGCGGGATAAGGAATTTTTTTTCTTTACTTATTACGTGCTCCGCCCTTAGGCACTACACGAAGAGGGAGGGATGCCTTCGTGGAGGACTTTCTAAGGGAAACTGGCTCGTATCCACGTTACACATGTGGAAAACCACGAAAACGCCCATGCAGCCAGCCCGTTCACCTGGATTCGAACCCCGGACCGAACTACTGGCGTTCAGCGGCTTTTACCGCTCGGCCGCTGGTGGGCCAACGAGATAGGGATTGACACGCAATTCCAAAGACACCGGGCATTTCTCAAGTATCGCCGGCAACAGCGGCTATCCTGTCGACTACACCCATAATGGTTTCAAAGCACTACATCCATAATTGTTTCAAAGTATTCATAAATTAGGCTTTTCATGTGGACCCACAGGAAAAAGTCCAAACACGAGAGATCCGGTGATCTTGATGGCCAAGCTATGGGATCATTTCGACCAATCCATCGCCTTGGAAATTTTGTAGTTCGTATAACCAGCCATTCTCTCGGAAATGCATGGTAGAAAATGCCGTTCGGTGAGAGCACTGACCCCTTTTTATACCATTTATTTACAATACCACCTGGCGGTTCGTCGTTTGAGTTCCGACCATACATTTTCTGACGAATATTGCTCGTATAGTTGCCTTCTATCCCCCCCTAAACTGTTGCCTTCTTGTTCAAATTCTCCCTATTTCTGAATACTCCTTATGCACTGCTTCAGTTATCTGCAGGAGTGTTCTCATACCTTTATCTGCGGCTTACAGCAGGCCAAAAATACTTTGAAATGTGGAAGAAATAAAATATTTATAAGTTACAAAAGCGTGCAAAACAAGAAAAGTCTGTTAACATGACGAAAAAAGGCAATCCATATGGGCCAGTTTAGGGCAGCATGGCCTTACAATCACAAAACTGATACAAACGTGATTAGTAACTGCAGTTTCATTGCCGATACGGTGCTTAGGTGAAAAACACGATTTTTATTATGTCGTCTCTCCTTGAAACTGTACATCATACTATACACTACATTTAATGTTAGCATACGGTAGCTGAATGCCGTGCAGAAGGGCCGGGGTTCGAATCCTGGAGAAGGCATGGTGTTTGTAAACGTATAGTGTCCGTGCGGCATGGTGGCACTCTAGAAATGCGGCGAGACGAAAGTCCTCTCGAGAGGTTGGATGGTAGGGGAAAATGGGGTAGGAGTCTCTCGAACCTCTCCATCAAAACTGTAGGCGGAACTGTCACCTTTAAGGTGCTCAAGGCTGTTGCCAACGACAAGCATAAACTTGCGCTCATTGTCACGAGGAATTTTGTGGGCTTGGCCTGACTATAGGTCACACAAAGGAGCATTAGTAACAACAACGAATATTATATAATATTCGTCCTTTCCCAGTTTCAAGAGTGAAAGGCTGAAGCATCACAGCTCTTTTCTTCCACGTGAATAAAAGAGAGAGAGCGGAAAGTGTACCATAAATGTAAAATAAACTTTATTATTCATATACCAATGTTGCTAACGTTTGACCGTACCTAATTTATTATTTAAATTTTATAGCATTTATTGCATATTTCGAGAAAATTGTATTACATACAGCGTCCTGCATTACCTGAGTTACGTTTGCCACTCTATACACACACACACACACACACACACACACATTACTCCAAAGAAAAACATTGCTGGGAAAATATCGCTGTTTAGGATAATAAATAGGGGGAACATCGCTTTCGGGGGAGGGAACGATGAATAAACAATAAGCTTAAACACCTCGTAGCAAAGAAATAAGGCACCGACATAAACTTAATGTGAAAACTTTATTCATTAAAACGTTTTAATTTTACAGATAAATTTAACATTTGCAGGTGACTCTACATCCTCTACATTCTTTTAATGTTTTTATCGGTTCAAATTTATTGTTGCAAATTACATTCATCCCAAAATAATGCGAAATTGATTTAAAGCTGTCATGCGAAAAGGAAGAAATGTTTTTTTTTAACATCTGCGCCTGAATTAATCCATAGATTTCAATGCTAATTAATTTTAGTCAAGGAATTAATATTAGTAAATTTAGTCAAGGAAGGTTTAGTCATTTAATAAATAGTCAAGGAAAAATATACATATTTGAAACACTGGTATGTTTAATACTGCTTTGAAAAATACAATGAGTTAAAATTACAGTTATTAGAAAATGAACATAAAAAAACAATTGGTTTTAGAGAATGTTAACAATAATAAGAAACAAACAAACCTCACAGATACAGAGAATATTCAGTAGTAATAAAAAAATAGAGGACTATTAAATTAGCTTTTTCATTTACAGCACATTTGTACTTCTTTAAACTTTTGGAGATTTGCTGTGAAAAGGATTTAAGTTAACTAAAGTGAAAACAAATAAGAAATAAAAAGGGTGTAAAGATTAATCAAACACTTAATTTTTGCAATAAATGATAAACAGAATATAAACTTAAATCACACTGCATTTAAAATCTATACAGTTTTAAACATAAAATTATACATTTACGCGATTCGTAAGAAAAATTAAACTCCCGATATTTTTAATGGAAAAAAAAATATATTTAAATATATCTTTTTAAATTTGAGTTACCTATAAATGAAGTAAAATTTTAGATTATAATATAAATTACATACATAAAATTCTAACAGCAAGTACAAGTATAGAAAAAAAAATTGCTCAGTAATTCAAGGAAGGAATTTTATCTTTGTTCGTCTAATTAGTTATAACGGGAGACTAAATTAGTTCCAAAGGTGCTTTTACTTAATTTAAAGTAATTATATTTCATTTACTTGCGAATTTCTTACACTGTAATTTTTTCTGCTGGCGAAAAAAGAAATTCAATTATAATCACTTTTAAAGCTGTTAATAAAATGATTATCGTTAAAATATTAACACATAGTTGATTAAGTTTATTTTCCTGCAATATAAATATTACAAATTTCTTGCATTCTATCTAACAGTTTGGATGTCAACCTTAGAATATGACATTATAATTAATACAAAAATCACTTCAAAATTAAAAACTGGTTTCACACAGTACAATAATTCTACAGGAGAGAAACTTTTTTTTCTTTTTACATTAGATACACGAATATCTTGAACAAAACCATTGAGATTGCTTAAAGGAGAAGGAACAGAACTACTTTCTGGTCTATTTTTTCAAATCCACATTAAAAAAGATATACAAGATGGTACTCTTTGTTATGCCAAGCAAACACTGGAGTCTTCATTAATGGCTTGAAAAATTCTTGATGTTAAGACCCTTGGCAGATTCTATTCAGTGGGGGAAAACCATGCTTATTACAACAAAGTGAATATCACCGACATTTTTGTTTCAACAAAATTCAAAATTATTGACTTTCAGTCCTTGATAAATATTTAAGTCAACTAAAATTAACCCTCAAAGATTATCTATTTTTGTTGAAGAATAGCTACAATAAATTTGAAGAGACTCATTGCTGCAAGCATGGCTTTTTACATTACATATTTTGTCAAATGTAAATATAAACTGCAGTTTACTACAAAGTCTGTCGAAAACCTTGTCCCCACTTGTACAATTCCTCCGGTTTTGGATACAGCTCAACCAACATTCTGGTATGGATTGAGTTCTACAACACTGTAGTCGTCTTTGGTTTGGAAGCAAAGAAAAAAACTATCGCTGTACAAACAGGCAAAGAAAAAAGTATTCCATGTAAACTGTACATTGTTATATATATCACTGGCTATACGCAACGCAAACGTTTCAAGCTGAGAACATCTTGAGTGCGTAAGATTGGGCACATCTTCACCTATATATTCGACTGGCCTTTCAGACGGTCTGACTTCGTTGAGGTTGACTAAAAAGGAGTGCCTCAGAAGACATTTTTGACTTCAGTATCCCTGATCTAGTGTAAGGAATCTTATTTCTCTGTTAACCTGGTCAATGTCTCGGCTGCAAGCTGTTCCTGCTGCCGTTCGAGACCGTTTACCATGTTCTCAATGTTTTTCAAGTCACTAGATGAAGACACAGATGAAGGACCCACCGAGCCGTCGGAGCTACCACACTCCGATCCTGGGGGTGACACAGCACCGAGTTTGTTTAAAGAATTGTGATTGAGGTGAGGAGGATGGCTAGCCACGACGGACGATGCGCCATCATAAGGAGATGACGATAGTGGAGATCTGACTACTTCAGCAGGAACTGTCAGAGGCGTTGCTGTCGTAGTATTCGTCATTGTGGTCAACGGTAATGGATAAGGTGAAAATCGGTGTGGCTTGACTTTACTACCCGCTGTTGCAAGCAGCCCACCATTACCTGCACCAGTGGTCATTGGTACGTCTAATCCGTGAGGTGGAGGGTAGCCGTGGAACATAGAGTGACCAGCGGCGAAGGCCAGTTGAGCATTCAACAGCAAACTGTGGCCCATGTTAGGCAGTGATCCACTGGCTTGCGATGAGGAACTGAGGGAACTTTGCGCCAGATGGGAGGCAGAAAAGGCAGCCGGAGATGGATGGCCACTGGAAGTAAATAGTGAGAGAGGTAGTGGATGGCTAGGGCCAGATGCGCACGTGACTCCGGGTAGGAAAAGTTGGGAGAGTGGTAAATGTCCCATGCTCGTGGAGTACAAAGCTGGAGGATACAGGTACGGTAAGATGTGGGGATGAGGCATAGCAGGACCTACTGTTACGTTGGGTTGTCCACTCTTGGGTAGACCCGAGACACCATCAAGACATTCATTTTTATAATCTCGTGAAGATCCGTTGTGCTCCACCGGATGAAGGGACGACAGAGGTTTATCTATGCTATCATCTCCACTATCATCTCTGCCACAACCGTTTTCTCTCCTTTCATCTCTGGAAAGTGGTTCTGCAATACATAATAAAAAGGTTAAAACTTTAATTTTCATGATGTCTTTTTTTAAGGAGTATTTTTGACATAGTTCCAGCATTTCTAAAGACAGAAATTTTATCAATTTTAAGCTCCATATTGAATTTATTTCTAATCTCCAGCTTATCCAATAATTTGTGAAAATTTTAAGTTTCACTATTTAACAGAATGCAGTATGCTATCAATATAATAAAGGCATCACACAAATTTTATAATTTTGTCTATTACTGTAAATAAAAGAAAGCAATCTTTGTAGCATTATACACCTCATAAATTAGATGTATCAGAAACCACATAAAGATTTCTGTTAAGAAATATCTGCTTTAGTTCAGCAATCGCATGTATTTCTTACCGGTTACTTATGCTTTTATACTGAGAGAGGAATTTGTGCTGTTTTTTAACTACATTCCTTATTTTTAAAATTATGTTAGTGTGGTTAGATTGTATTTTAAGAACTTAAGTCTTGAAACAGTGCTAAAGAAGTTCATGTAATAGTTACAATTTACTGCGATTAAGGGGGGGGGGACTGTATTAAAGGAGAAATACAAGGAGGGAAAAAAGGAGGCTCATTCATATAAAGAGGTAACGATTTGATTAAAATAGCAAAATCAAAGGAAGCTTTATACTAAAAACAAGTGCTAATTTCATAATTCTCATAACACAGTACAGTAAAAGTATGAACCATATGCATACGAAAGATATGGCGGCAAAGTAATTGGCTTTTTTACTAGAAAACTAAAACACTTTTCCCAGTTTCAAGAAAAGAACAAAAAGCACTTTTAACATGAGCGAAAAGAAAATTTTCTCGCATATTTAAATCTAAATACAATCTGCACTAGCAGAAGTACGGTTATATTATAGACAAATAGCTCATTCACTTCGGTCTAACCTTTTCTATGCTGAAAGAAGTTTGTTTTCTTATATATGTTTATAAGGTATTTTATACCTCTTTTAAAAGTTCCTTTAAGGGAACTCATACACCTTAAAACCCATAAGATGTTCGAATAGGTGACTGTTGCAAGAATTGGGATAACTTATTTATTTTAAAAGCAATTACTACGAACTTTTTACAGCTGACTACATAATATAGCTGCTTTCTGAAACAGTCATCAGAAAGTTTGTGTCGCCACAAATATTTTTATAATTTAATCCAATTTGTGACCACATTTGTCGTCATGTTTCCAACTTGCGCGTACAGTTTAAAACATTGTTTCATAATTTAATTCCATATTTAATATATAGCTTTTATAACGTCTGGAAACTACTGTGAACCTAAAATTCTAAAAATTTCATGTTAAATTTTTATTTTATTTTGAGTTGAGTTTAAAAAATGTATTTTATTTAAAAAATTTGTAATGTTTTCGTCCATAAAATTTTTCAATAGTAAAATATTCATCAGATTGTTGGTTCAGTTAGAAAATAGTGCCCATATAAAGAATTCCATCCAATTTCAAGTATGTACCATTAGCCATTTTTAAAATATCATGCGCGCAAGGTGGAAATATGGCGAAATATTTTGTCACAAAGAGGATTAAATTACAAAAATATTTGTGGCAACACAAACTTTCTGGTTACTAGTTTTCAAAGCAGCTATATCATGAAGTCAGCTGTAAAAAGTTAAAAGTAATTGATTTTAAAATAAATAAAATATTCCAATTCTTGCAATAGTCACATATTCGTAGATCATGAGGGGTTTAAGGTGTATGAGTCCCCTTAAAGTAGCGTCACTACTTACGCTCGAAATTAACATTCTCTGAAAAAAAGCCACTTAATACTATAAGGTTTATCGCTCTCCTTCCAGCATGTCTTCGTGGTGTAATAGTTAGCACACTCGACGCGTATTTGGGAAGTCCAGGTTTGAGTCCCAGGGAGAACATTGCTCATTTTTGATGTACTTCTCCTTCCGAAAAATCTAATTACTCTACAGTGGCGCTCGAACTAAAAAAGGTTGGGAATGATGATTCTTCGCCACCAGGATGTGGCGACTGGGTCCCCTCATCCCCAGTCGCCCTTTAAAAGGAGGCGTTTTCTCCTTCTTTTCGGCATGCCTTCGTGGTGTAATGGTTAACACACTCGACGCGTATTCAAGAGGTCAGAGTTCGAGTCCCGGCGAGGGCATTGCTTATCTTTCATGTACTCCTGCTTCCAAAAACCTAATGATGTTAAGTGGTTTAAATTAATTAATAGTTGGTAGTGAAACTATATACTAAACGATATAGTTGGTAGTGACGCTTGATTACCCTACTGATATGCCCGGGATCGAATCCCGGGGAAGGATGTTGTAAATGTATAGTGTCTGTGTGGCATGGAGGCACTCTGGATATATGGCGAGTGGCAAGTTGCACTGTGACTTATATGATGCTCAAGGATCATGCCAAAGACTGACGCAATTTTGCACTCCTAGCCTAAAATTCGTGGGCTTATTATGATTACATCATACAAGAGAGATTAGAACAACAACAACAAACTAATTATTTTCCATTAACGAAGTATTAATTCCTGCCTGTCACTTGCATTGTACAATTAGCTATCCTGTATATTTCCAAAATTGTAAAGCGTATAAAACTTTTAAATTTATGATTCTTTCAAAGATATTGATTTCTTATAATAGCAGAATCATAAGCGTAATATTTACTAAAAGCTTGCTGATAAACAAACTAAAAAACGAAGGAGGCTTAAAATATTAGCCTAGTGTTTTTATATCAGCAGAAGCAATCAGACAGCTGCAGCAGCTGAAAGCTCCAATATTCTAACTTTATCCACGACGAAGAAATTCTTTCATACTCTGAATCTTGTGTGTTTTCTAATCAACAAATACAGAAATGATTTCTCATTTTTTTCTCCCAGGCGGATAAAAAAAACGTAGCCCTCATTTGAATTTTCACTCATTGCTTTGGAGAACATTGGTAGGGATCAGAAATCGAATAAATCACAGTTGCAGTATACTCGCACTTTTTTTAATCCATTCTGAAAGCTTGAAAAGAAGAGGAAAAATAAGAGCTATAGGCCTTAATAAAAAGCTACAACGTGTCCAATATATCTCATGTTCTGCGACAGATACTCTGAAAAATGGATGTTCAAAATAGCGAACTGAATAGGTAAGGAAGAAAGGACGAGGTCTGTGTAGAACCACGCCCAGTCGTTTTATTGGGAACAGCAGCGATTCGAACTGGACTTGTTCGATGTCATTGGGAATTAAAGAATCGCAAAAACTATTTTTTTTCTTTTCCCCCTCTTGTCGAGGTTACTACCTCTTCAACAACTAAGACCATTTTTATCGGGTTATCATTTTTGCAAAGAGGATAACATGGGATTTTTTTTCACCCATGTTCTCCTTGATGCGTCTGAAAGAGAGATAAATGGTAATGCTTTTCGCGTAACTTCATTTTTAGCTAACTTCTGCGGGTAGTTTGGTCTACTGATGCGTGATTTATACTCGGGTGCATTGTCAAAAAATAACAGCAGCAAAAATTTTAATACTTGGAATCGCAGACCTTTCCAGATATCGCTTCTTTTGAGTTTTCGCTCATAGAAATTTGGCAAATATACGAAAACTACACTTAAAATGATTTAAGATTCTTTAACTACACTTAAAATGATTTTAGATTTATTTTAAGATTCTTAAAATGTGCTTACCTTAATAGTAATACTTATATAATGCATGGAAACTCATTTTTAAATATATATAACCGAAAAACATGAGCATGTATATTCAAAAACATTATGTAATAGTGTAAGGATCCTAAGTTTTACTAACGTTTATTTTATTTTAAAACTGCCCTATCACTTCTTATTTTTTACTTCCGGCCAGAATTAAATGCTTTACTTGTTTATGCAAATTGTCTTGCTAACGCCCAAGTACTTAAGTTGTGGCTTTTTTGCCAAAAGACAGAGAGAAGGAGTTTTAGGAAGCAAGCCGCTTGTCACTGCAGTTTTACGAGTTTTCACTCGTTTGCTGGTTGCCTTTAAGGCCAGAGGTTTAGCCCTCTTGATATTTGCAAACGTATTGTAGTTTCAGCAGCTCGGCGTACTACACACGTACCCATTTTAAATAAAGGCCAGTCTTAGTGCTAGGCATTTGTATACTAATTCAAAGTTAGCTTTTAGTTAGAGTTTTACTTAGTAGTTTTATATTCTTACGTTCAGACCACAAGTGGTTGGTCTCTGTATCCCGAAGTTCGGAAGTACTTGTAAAAGTATAGAAAAATAAAGGGTTTCGTATACCCTTCCTGCTTGTGTCGTCTGTTACACAGAAATTTTGAACATAGCTTGAGTAAGCTCTCTGTTCCTTTCAGGACACATCATGTTTCCAAAGCAAATCAAGAGAAACACAAGTCCTGACAATATATTTCCTCTTATCCGGATAAGTAGTGTCAAAGTAATTTCATAAAATACTTCTCCAGATCACACGTGGTAACTACTAGTGTTTTCGATAACGGTGTCACTCTGACATTTGATGAGCTGTATAATATCGGGTGTAAAACTCATAGTCCATTAATCTACAAAACAACATGTTGTTTCTTATGATCACTTGTCTGACGCAGTCATCCCGACTCCACGAAATTTCCCGTTGGCAGGGAGCGCTAGATTACGCCTGCCTTTGGCCACAGCCTTGAGCACCATTGAGGTAACAGTGCGATTTAGCTTAGTTCCGACCCCAATTTTGATGGAAAGCACCCCAGGAGGGGGAAGGGTCCGAGGATCTCCCACCCCTCTCCCCTTCCACCCAACCACACAAGAAGATTTTCGGTTCGCCGCATATTTAGAGTGCCGCACCGAACTATACATTTATAGGCATCCACACCTTCTCCGGATGCATATTTTACAAGTGCACATCCGTGTAGCCACCGAAGGAATGGCTTCTAGGATGGACCAATGAGCATCCAGTAATATTTCTGTCATGTCACATGACCTTTCGCGTGCTTTAAGATACTTGAAAATATTCTGCCACGCAGTTTCCTGTACAAAATAATTAAAGC